CATATTGTAAGTCACTCAGCCACTGCAAGCCCCGGTGCAGCTGTGCACTTGCCCTAAAGTAATGCTTGCCCACGATCGCAGGGATCTACAGGGCTGCGACCCCTACAACTGTGGTGGTTATGCCACTGCCCTTATGTATTAGAAATGAGAATGCTCATGAAACAGGATGTTTTTAGAGCACGACACCAGGAAATGTTTAAACATTGTTTATATATGTGTTTTGATGACAGATTCCCTTTAAAGCCTCCCGACAATCAAGAAGTATGATTTACTTTAGAACATTATTCCAGTTAGATGTTAAAAAAAAATTGCTCCATAGAACAAATAAAACAGGTAGGGGTTCTTTGCTGAATGGAGTTGTGCAGATTTGTTTTTATAACATAGGATGTATATATTAGGAGATAAGAGAGAATATTTGCAGTGTTCTCCCCACCATACTCCGTTTACTAGCAGATACTAAAGATGAGCACATTCAGACACTCATGGAACAAAAATGTACTTTCATTGTTTGATAAGGTGTGGTTATTTCAGTTGCACAACAGCTTTTATTTGGCTGGTGGAAGCAATGCAAACCATAGATGATGTATTTAACTAAAAGGTATCAAATATTTTCAACATGTATATTATTTAATGAGAAACTGCTGATGTTTTCATCAATCAAACCTGTCAGGGTAAAGTATATGCATGCTGTCGATAACATCAAAGCACGTCTTCATGGCAATGGTATTTGGACACCTCCACCTATTTTCTGCCCAGCCCACTCATTTGTTTTCTAACCTTTTTCATTGACAAAGCAAAAAACATTTGTTATACATGAGAAAATTGTTTATTTACTAAAGTGAGAATTCAAAGTGAATTTCATATTTAAGGCCAAAAAAGCCAATTGGAAAATTTATCTACGTTAGCTATACTTCAAGTTTGGACTAAAATTGGAAAATCACTTAGAATTTTCACCTTAGTGAATAACCCTATGTCACTTTTAACTGGTTGACTTCCTTTTAATTTAAAACATCAAGACACATTGGAGCACACAGTATTTTTGGTGTATTACAGGGATACTATTGGCATACAAACAACTTTAGCTTAATGAAGCAGTTTTGGTGTATAGATCGTGTCTCCGTGGTCTCGCTGCTCAATTCTCTGCCATTTAGGGGTATACTCTCTTTGCTTATGCAGCCCTAGTCATACATCCCCGTTATGAGACTTACACAGCCTTCCTAAACACTTCCTGTACATAGAGATCTAATATTTAAACTTCATTTAAATGCAACATTTAGAATGTCTTATCTCCTGCTCTGTTAATGTCTTCTAGAGCCTGCAGGACCCTCCTGTGTATGATTTGTAGGGACATGTATAACTTCAAGACAACTATCTCAGCCAAAAAGCATTAGCTTTAAATGAGGCAGTAGCCTCACTCTGCAGGCTGAAAAAAGCAGGTAAAGATGTTTTTTTGTTTTTCTATATTTACCTGCTTCTACTTTCTTATTGCACATCAACTCCAGTGGGACACTGGTCTAACCAATCAGTGTCCTGTCCCTAGTAATGCTGAAAAAGTGAATTGACAAAACAAATATTGTCAAGCGATGTATGTCCTTACATGGCAGGGGATAAAAACTTCTAAAGTAATTTAAGATTTGATGTCTCTGTGTCACAGCCAGAGGTGGTGTGGCTACGACTGCATGAACAGAAACAAGAAGGCTGTGTAAGTCACATAAAGGAGATGTGTGCCTAGGGCTGCATAAACAAAGCGATTTCTCTGATAAATGTCTGAGAATTGAGCAGTGAGACTGCAGGACATGAACTATACACACTTTGCTTCAGTAATCTGAAGTTGTTTTGATGACTATAGTGTCCCTTTAAATAGTAGGTGTGCCATTCACTCCTGGGAGTGAAGTCAATCTTAGGTAGGGTGCTGGAAAATTATTTAATTACAGTGGGCATGTGTACGGTCATATCTGCTTTTATCCCCTCTTTTCCCCTATCTAGTCACTCCGCCCTCCTCCAACATTATTTTGAAAGTGAGGCAATGCAAAGCCAGGACAGATATGCTGAGTGTATCTCCCTCCTTGCTGTCATGCAGTGTAGAATGCCCCACATTAGTATGATACCAGGTGCCTAATGTTGCTTTTTGAGAGCTACCAGTAAAGGCTCAGCTAACCACATGCAGCTTGTGTGCCACGATGGGAGAAACTAGGCTTTATCTTTAAGGGACGCTCCAATGCCCAAATTAAATAAATTATTTTAAAAACTGTTTTGTAGATATCACTTTTTTTTTTTTCATTTGGGGTATATGTAACACTAATTGCAAAAGATGCAGATCTCTTGTCTGCTGACTTTTTAAGCTCTCCCCTTCTTCCCCAATGCATACTTTCTGTGGCTGTCCAATCAAAGACTCCCAATGCAGCTCAATGAGAAGTGTTCTGGGCAATTGCTGCCTCTAGAGTTTAGCTCCACTAAGATAACCAAACCAGGAAGTAGCAGGGCATGTTGTCTGATTGACAGCCAGGATAAATAACAAGGTTCATTTATAATTTCTATTGATTAATATCTAGATTCCTATTGAAAACTGCTCTTATTGTAAAGTGCCTTAAGTAAGCAGTGTCCCTTTAAGAAAGATGAAGTGATAATATGGTGCTTCAAAACTGAAAACAAAAAATATGTCACTGGCTACATTTCATCAGCATGCTGATTTTTAGTATCATTTAGATTGGGGTTCACTCACTAAACAGAAGTCGTGGTGTGTTGAAAACCAGGCCAAAATAGTAGAATGGAAATAACCTGCACAAAACACCCAACCTAGGACTTATTTTCAAACTCTTCTACTTTGATTGAAATATCACAGCCTTATATTATAGTGGCACAAGACTATATATAAACAAATCTTCTCAATTTATGAGTTTTGAATTGGAGTGAATTTGCAACATTTAGCTAAAGTCGCCAAGCTGTTAGTACAGCTGGAATTTTTTTTTTTTTTTCTAAATCAGTATTTTTTTAGCATAAATCGAAGGGATCTATTCAATAAACTGAGAATCATGGACAATCATAAAGGGGTTGGCTTGAAAGTAGGTAAAGCCTGATTCATTTTTCTAACTTGCTGGTTACTTCCAAGTAGACAGCGCAGCTCCTGACATTCGGACATGCACAATTTATACCAAATGAAATAGAAATCCCTGGCATTCAGCAAGTAATGTTCTGCCACAATAGGTGCCAAGAGAATTGGACATTCCCCTAGCATGTTAAAGGACCACTACAGGCACCCAGACCACTTCAGCTTAATGAAGTGGTCTGGGTGCCAGGTCCAGCTAGGTTCAGAGAAACTGCTATGTTTACATTAGGGTTAATCCAGCCTCTAGTGGCTGTCTCATTGACAGCCAATAGAGGGCTTCCGCGCTTCTCACTGTGATTTTCACAGTGAAAAGACGCCAGCGTCCATAGGAAAGCATTGAGAATGCTTTCATATGGACTGGCTGAATGCGCGCATGCGCATTCAGCCAGTGACGGAAGAAGAGGGAGGAGAGCTCCCCGCCCGGCACTGGAGAAACAGGTATGTTTAACCCCTTCCTCCCCCCAGAGCCCGGCGGGAGGGGGTCCCTGAGGGTGGGGGCACCCTCAGGGCACTATAGTGCCAGGAAAACGAGTATGTTTTCCTGGCACTATAGTGGTCCTTTAAGGTAGGCTGATGCATATATGAAAGGAGGACCACTCACTTCATTACTTCATCACACACACCACTGCACATGATGTATGAGACCTCTCCTATTTATATGGATCCACTGGAACCCACAATCTTTATATTATTTAACCCTTTGACGACACCCATAAGGCTGGTCTTTTACTTCTGAAGTTGTGTCCTTCACTAACTTAACAAAATGATGAAGTGGTCCTGTTTTCCAATAAAGACGTTCACCTAGCCAATGAGGACCTGTTTTTTGTTTTTATTCAAAACTCCTAAAAAGAGATGAACACAGAACTAGGAGAAGAAACCCATGGCCTACTAACCACATAACCACTACAACAACTTGCAGTGGTTATAGTGTTCAAAATACACCTTTAGCTCCTCATCGCCCTCTAGTATTTGACAGAATGTAGGAAAGCAGTAAATAGATCCTACTAGGTAAAAGTGATGGTAAGAAGAGCAGGTAGAGAGGTATTTTTCACTGTCACAATAGATGAACTAACTCTCTGTGAAACAAAAAGAATGGACCTTACTTGAAGACCTGGTAAATAGGGGGATCCTGGACAAGTCCCATTTGATTTTTTTGGTATCTATATATTTATATACACATTTTGGTTTCTTTAAGTTGCCAAGAGTGTCTCCCCCAAGGGGGCCCCATTGTAAATAGTCACACCATTTTCGAAGATGTGACTTATTAACTGGGATCAGCTTATTGCTCTCAGCCAATGATCAAAGTTTTGTACTGTAGGGTTTAAGTTAGGAAAGCTAAAGGTTGCTCCAGTTAGGAGTTGCCGGTTTTCTAGGCCTATCAGAGCACAAGTTCAAAAATGGTCTGACTGCTTATAATAGGTAGGTGCCTGGAGACTCTTGCCATACTCTTGCCATATACTATAGCCAGGTGTTTGCCTAAATTTTGCCTTTCATACAATCCTCATTTTACTGAAAAAAAATGTTCGAGTTAGTAAATCCCATTAGTTGATTCTAGTTAAAGAAGAGCGGATTTGCAAAGGACAATAAATCAAGTGAATATTAATTTATTTTTAGTAACAACCTAACATGTTTTGTTTAAATGCAAGCATAAAAAATCACATTTCTGAATTGTCACTACAAACAAGAAACTACACTTTGCAAATGCTGCATTATACAAGTTTTAATTGAATGGAAAAAATGAAAAATACAATTAAAATAAACAGAATGTTTAGTAACCATATCAGACACTTTCTAAAAAGCCTTGAAATGGAAGGAAGAAGAGTTTTGTCTGATAGTGACAAGCACTAATATGCCTGACATTACAGGCCAAAAAACCTGTTTGAAGAAGAAATGAATAATACAAGGTAAGAAGGTTTGCATTGCAAGTCATGCATAATTATATCACCTGAGGTTAAAAAATACCATAAATAAGGCTTCATGTGAACTGAATATTTGTACTCATGACATTTTGTACAACCAACTACCTTTTAACACCTTGGTCTTTTCACTGGACTGTAAGTTGGGGTGCTTGGCAGTATTTGAATAAAAATATCAGCATTACGCAAAAAAAAAAAAAAAAAACATTTTGGGGAAAGAAATGGAGATTATTTGTAACTTGGCTGTTTGGTCCTTCATTTTTAAGGTAGGCTTGTTTTTAGTTAAGAATGAACATACACTAATATTAGAAAACTACTTTCTCTTTATACATACATACCTGTGGGACTTATTCACTAAACAGTTTATTGTCCATTTGGAAATGTTATAATTGAGGAAAAGCAATACTCATAGAGGTTTAATCACTAGATAAGGAACTGTCAAAATTTCTAAGTGAATACCAATGTTAGTCCATAGTAGCCAAACAAAAAAAAAATACTAAGTCAGCCATGATTTCCTTTGACCTAAAAATAAAAATCACATGTTTTAGTGAATAATTGAGTTGTTATTGAAAAGTTGACATTTTGTTCACTTTTGTTATGGCCTACTTTTTTCACTGTCCACTGTTTAATGAACTGAGGCACAATCCATGACTAAAAGGGGAGGTCAGAAGGATTATGTATATAGAATAATTATGCTGTAAGCATCCAAACTGGCAATTTAAAATGTGGAGCAAACCGCTGGAACGTTGCCTTGGTTTCCATAGTGACTGCAACAGATATGTACCATTTTCTTATTACAGTTGACACTCGCAAATCATAAAAAACGTAATAAAAGACAGTAAAACAATAATAGTTTTAAGGCATTCACACACACAAAAAAAAAAAACTTAACTCATGAAGTTCTGGAGAGCTTACAAGTCCCTCTTTGTATCATAACTAATATATCATCGTAGAGTCAGTTTCGATTGGACGATTGAGTAGTTGAAACATGCAGTCATCAAGGGGAGTATTTACTAAACAGCGAGCTGTGAGAGTTGACTATCTGCTTGCAGAGATCATATACCAAAAAAAGCAGATTGAGACGTATTCCCAACTCTGCTAATATGTTAAGTTTGTAGACAGTTTAAAACAAATCGTCACCTAGTAAATAGGGGTAAATAGGGGATCAATCTGAACTTCACACAGCATCCAAGCTTCTTTCTCAACACGCATTGCTTTCCCTTCTTAATCCAACTATTACTGTGCAGTTATTTGTAAGGACATTAATTGGTATCTCTTAAGGGCAAATAGAACAATTCCTGGTTCAGATCCTGGGGATTGAAAACATTCAGTAGAGTCCCTAAATAATCCAGTGATGTAATGTATGAATCTTCTACAGAAATATTCGCTTTGCTGGAACCGCTTATAAATCAAAACACAGTTCATTAATTGGAAGCAGGCAGGAAGTCCTGTACTTTACATTGCAATGTTTATGTAAAACACAGCAACTACAGTATGACCGGCACAACATTTAAAGCAACATAAAACAAAATACAAAGTGTTTACATCCTTGTTATCATTTCAAAGGAAACATATTTCGTTTAAATAGCATATTCCAAGTATCTCAAAATTATATACAAAATGATTTAATATAAAACAATATAAATGTATGTATGTGTATATATATGTGTGTGTGTATATATATATATATACAGAGTGAGACATAGAGAGAGAGATTCAGTTTTCGTTCAGTGACTGGAATTCGTTGCCTGATGTTTGTTTGTTTCAGTATTAAATAAATAAAAATAAAATGAAAATTAGTCTAAATAAACAACTAACTACATGATAATAACGATACATAGAGTTTTAACATTAGCCTGTGCCTTAATGCATTCATTTTATCTGGGATATAATAAAACCACTCCCCAGGGGAATTGCAAGCTTAATAAAACACTTGTAACATTAACAAGCGTTATACAGGACATTCACCTTAGGAGAATTGTTAATGCATTATATCCCTAACATTGTCTTCTACACAGGATATTGTAAAATACCAATATATGTCATTATGAACTCACATTATATTGGTGTTAGATTACAGGATGGAGAATTGTTCGAAGTTATGTTTTGGAATAGTTGTACTAAACTCTATGGAGTTTATTCATTTAAAAGTTAGTTTTTATGATTAGAATAACGAGTACAAAAAAAAAAACAAAAAAAACCTAGAATAGTCGACTTGGAGATTCATCTAGATTTAAGACATTTGTTCAACCTCTTCTAGTTTTGCCTGAATGTTCGAGTCAGTTGCCAACTAAATATTGAGAGAATTATTGAGAGAATAATCCCTAAATAATAAGAATGCAGGTAAAAATTAATTACAAGGTAATAGTTTTAAAGCTTCTGTTGTTTCAGTTTTTTTTTATATATACCTGTCTTTTCCTGGACAAAAATAAGCTTTGAAGAAACCACTGAAGTCTTGAAAACCTGTTTTAAACTGGTTTTTAACCTCAGGAAAAAAAAAAAAACAAGCAACTATAATTTACATAATTTATTCAAGGTTACAATATATGCTTAACTTTTTTATCTGCAGATATTTTACAATTTGTTTCTTATTTTGTTACAATCCAGATCGAATTTCAGAAGCATATTTTTTATTAACGATTTAAAAAAAAAAATCAGTCCACTTTTAAACTAAATCCAAATTCAGTCAATAAATTGATGCATATTATTATATATATATGCTGAGTTCTTGTCTGATTTAATAATTCGTTTTATCATTAAATCTGCGAAAAGAAAGACAATTTAGAAAGTGTGATTAAACCTTCTTATCTTTCTCGAGTTATTTTACCCCAGGGTAGATTAGTGTGTGGCGAGGCTTGATAAGTGCTTATTTTCTCTTTCTTTGATGATAGTATTGCTTTGTAAACATTGTGTAAATACAATACACCGAATTAATCTGCTCACTGGCACCTGTTGAAAACGTAACAAGAAAATGGCATTGGTAAAGTAGAATAAAAGTATCGGTTTTCTTGTACACTCACTATATGTTATTTTTCATTATACATACATGAAATTGTCGTTATTTAAAAGACAGTATATATTTACATTTCAATAGAGTGCTCCGAATAGATTGAATTCATAACTTGCAAGCATATTACAAATGAATGCTCTCGTTTGAGAGAGAGAGAGAGAGAGAGAGAGACAGAGACAGAGTGTGTGTGTGTGTGTGTGTGTGTATGTGTGTATGTGTATGTGTGTATGTGTGTGTGTGTGTGTGTGTGTGTGTGTGTGTGCTGTTATTTCTCTAATTTTATGTGTATATATAATATATATAGTGATTAAATCTAATATTATATATTATAATGTTACATTGCATAAATTCCTTTGTAATACGAAATGCAAGGTATATCTGTTGTTTAAATATCTCTCTTTTTGCATGCCACAGCAGTTTCCACGTATGATGCACGCAATACCTAATTAGATGCAATGGTTTAATCTCTAAACACAATGATTTGAAAACCCACATATAATACTTTAAATGGCTGGGCTGAATAAAATATTAACTTACTCAAAGTTGATTTTTTTTATTTTTTTATTAATCCAAACTATGTTATTTTTTACCTAACTTTTGCAAGTCACCATGTCATATTTCAACTCGCCACAACTCGCTTTTTTAGTAAATACACCCACTTAGGGTTTCCATTTCAGCAAACACACACATCGCAAACAGACTGTCAGAATACAGTTAGATACAGGTGAGTGCTGTAAGTAGTGATTTTTCAGTCTCTCTTTGCAGTCGATGTAAATTGAAGATAAATGTATAAGCTTTGGGAATGGTTAGTTGATGTGCTATGAATGGCATATTTCATGGCTCATTACTTGTGAGATGTATCTCACGTGTCCTTCTAACTCTCTCTCCTGGCTATATACACACACAGGACAAACTCTGTCATAGCAGACACTGGGAGCTCAGGGAAGCTCAAATAGCACTTACTGGATTGCAACTCTGTTATTATTGGGAACCAAAAGGCAACGTGTTTAATATATAGAGGCATTAATAAATCATTTATGGTATGAAAAGAAAGAGAGAGAAAAAGAAAGAAAGAGAAATGCTACATGACTGGGATCTGGATGCATAAGTTTTAAATACCTATTTAACCATTTAATTTCTTTGTATTATGTATTTACAGGTGGTCTGCGCACGTGGTCTGGTTAACTCTGGGCCATAAGGGGTTAAAAGCAAAATGGCCTGTGTCAAAAGACCTGAGACACTCTATGCAGCCATATTTATCACAGTATGGTTCTAGATATTCATTTAAAAGTATTCCTACCTTAGACATAAAATGTATTCTCAGAGAATATTCATTCACAACCTGCTCTGTGATGTATAACAAGTGCAATGATCAGGGGGGGAAACAGCAATTCTGTGGCAAGTAGAGCAATCTGTGACAAGATCCCATCGGGATGGCCCCATTTACAATGCTGCTACTACTGATCTTTAACGTTTAATATGGGACTCTGTAACCTCTGTATTGTGCTTAATTATTTAACTACTGAGTACATCCATACATTTTAACAAGCCTATCAATCCCAGGAGTTTAATCGGACCACACATTAATCCTGTTATTTAATTGTAACTTTGCCTTTAATCTTAAACAAATATTTACAAGGCTGATTTGTATAGCAGGCACATACAGAGGGAAGCCCCCTGACACACTGTCTCCACAGCAAATAATGGGCAGATTGTTACATTAAACTCCCATAATACTTAGGTCGCCAATAAATGGATCAGCATGATAGGAGTAACATTCACAGCAACTGCGGGGACAGAAGTTACCTATACAAGTCCCGAACCACCACCTGTATAATACACCTTATTGGCCACATACCAATAATACCATTTCTGGTAAGGGGTTCCTGGGAAGGGGGAGGTGAAGGCAGGAACTGGTGTTTATGTAAAGACTTCTACGGCTGTAAATCCATCAACTCCCCAGACAGCTCTGAACATAGTGAGCAAGTTAGCTAAGCGAATTCCTGCGTCACCGCGCATGCGCGCACAGGTAGCAACCAGTTCTTTATGAGCAGGTGAGATGTTACCCTACAGGTAACAGAAGGATTTGCTGAGACTGGTCGCATCAGCGGGAGGATCCCATCAACGAGGGATCACAGAATGTCCATGTTGGTCAAAATGGGGGACTGGCAGGTGAGCTAACACTTCAATTCTGGAAAGTAGTTTATTTCTAAAATAATGTATAGATTGCCTTTCAGTCATTGCTGTATGTCTGACTATTACTGCTACAGGTAGTCATAGGGAGGATAAACGTAGTAAAATGGATTGGGAGCAGTTTCAAAGTCGCAGAGTCGTCATAGAATCCTATAGAACGTTGCTATCTAATCGTTCCAACTTTAGAACGTTGACCCGCAATTGTAGATATTTTAATCTTCTGGCATTTTTTCTACGTGAGAAGTTTAGATCTATTCTGTGTATTTACTAACGTTATGGTAGTTTCCCATTTCAATCTCCTTACGCGATATTAGGAGTTAAACTGAATTCCAAAGCTTTAGAAGAAAAAAAAACTGAGATTTGACTGTATTTCTTCCTAGGCCCTGGTCCTATTAAAATGCAATGCGTGTTAATCGTACAGCTGGTTATGACTGCCCCGAGACACTTCTATTTGCAGCGTTAAAGCCTTTAGGAAAGGGCGAGTATGCATGTATAATGGGCCTTTAACATGCCATTTATAGAAGGCATATAGATGATTACATAGACAGAATTCTGCATTGATCGCGATGCAGTGTGAATGGTGTGTGCATACTGTACATGCAGAGATATTTACTAAAGTGGGAATTGTCGGGAATTAAGGTGAGTTTCGAATTCTAGGCAAGTTAGACGAACATAAAACAAATCTGACTTGGGGGAATTTTCCATTTCAACTATGAAGGTCTAAAATTTTAAATTTACTTTGAATTCCCAATTTGAGTAAATAATTCTAATGTATTCGTTTTACTACTTGACCATACCTTGTATATGGGGCTGGGGCAGGTAGGGAGCACTAACAATTGAATTTATAATCCTGAAATATGTAGCTGTGCAAAATCCTTGTAATATCTTTCCATTTATGGACTAAAAGGTTTTTACTAAATGCTAAATAATATGCATTGACAACTGCAGTAAGACTAGTTTATGTTGGCTTAAACTTGGAAGATCTGTGTTAAAATGACCACACATCCCAATTTAGACAACTCACTACAACATATAAAAACATAAGAAAAGTCAAACTGCAAAAACTATTTATTTACATAAATGGGTTGTATTACTGATTGCTGAAGGTTCTATATCCTTTCTGCTGCTTTCCATTTCAAATATTGATATCTTTCATGAATAGACATATATAGATATATATTCAGCATATATTTTTGTATTTCTTTTATCTGTTTCTCTTTCAAGCATCCCAGCCATGAAATAAAGACTGCAAGCTTTTAGGTTTAGTGAGACAAGATGCAATGATTTATCTACTAAACCTCCCGTAGACTTTAATGGGGACGTTGTAGATAACCTATTTGAAAAGTTTTCTAACAGATTGTGATCAATTTAAAAGCTTATCCAAGATAATTTAAACGAGGCCTTAGTTTACTGCCTAACCCACGTAGTAGCTGCATTTAATTTTTTTTTTAACGTGTGTGTTCCTTTTAAATGTATTTATGCCTGTACATATGTTAAGCTGTAAGGTTTTTTTTTTTTGGTTTTTTTTAATAGAAGACTTAATGGATGTAGTAAAAATATGTTACCTCTGGCACTATAACTCCCATAATCCTCTAGCAGTGTGTGGTATATTAGAGAGAGAGAGAGAGAGAGAGAGAGAGAGAGCGATTAATTCAGTCCCCTGGAATAAGGAGGGTGTAAAAAACCTTTACCAGAGGCATATTAATATGGTCTATTAATTACTCTCTGACCATTATTATTCCCATAATAGGGGTTTTTCTGACAGCTGAAGTTGAGAAAAATGCCATTTAGCTGTGGGGCTCAATAAAAATCACGGAGAACAGGTATATTTAAGAGTTTCTCACAATTAGCAGGTCTTGAAAGCAACTACTCCACCCAAGAAAATGTTAATAGGTCTTTTGCTATGCTCCTTGGCGTAAGACTGTTCACACCCTTTGTGACCTGCTAGTTGGCCTGTTTGATCCTCTATGGCTTATTCTGCTGAAGCTGGGCAGGCAGGTAATGGACTGAATACAGTGTCTGGAATCTTATGCAAGTCTCAAGTCTGTTAGCATAAATTTAAGGATAATCTGACGGACATTTTCAACTCAACAGCAGACAAAACAAGTATTTGGACTAGACTACAAAAGCAGCAGGAGCTGTTGGTTTTTCATCAGAGACTCTGTAAATATCCATAACATTGGACTGGTATATAATAGTGACTATTTAATTCCTCATTACTCACCAAGCATTGTGTATTGTTACATATGACGCCTCAGTTAATGGGTCTGGGAATTATTCGCTGAACAGTGAGCTGGGGCTCATTGATAACATCTTTAAATCAAAATAAACGGTTTGCAAAATACAAAATCCGTTGTCAGTCAGTTATTATAATTTTTTTTATTTTTTATCACACGACACTGTGATTGAAACCCTTGGTGTATATGAAATGCATTTAAGTGAGCAAAGGATAAAACTGTTTATCCATTTTATTCATTTCAGTTATACTATTAATGACTGAACCTTCATATAGTTAAAATACACCTGAGTAAAATGAACTTTGTAGAAAGTGTCAAAGTGAGACTATGTGTATTGATCACAGTATCAGTCCTACTTTACACCTTAAGCCACTTACAAAACTGTGACTTATTTACTTAAAACAATGATTAAGAAATATCAACACATTAAAAAGGGTTTCCCTCTTTTACCCATTATGTGCAACATACCCATTATCTGCAATTTAAGGGTTAGAGTGTTATGTCCTCAGGAAACGGTATAACTTAATATGTAAAATGTGCATTTAGGCCGAAAAAAAAGGATATTTTCAAGTGGTTTCGCTGCTTTGTGAATAGGTGATTAAATTATTTTATGAATCCTATTAGCATACAATATACAATTTGCTATAGGATGTTTAACAATAAATGTACATACATTTTATGTAAAGGAAGCAGTGCTGATGGATCTGATAAAAGACAGATCATTGTAAAATATTTACAAACACACACACTTGTATATGTGTGTATTGTTTTTATAAAAATAGATAGATAGATAGATAGTATATACACACACACAAAAATCCAGGAGCCTTTTTTTTATGACCGATTTCCTGAATATTGCTAATTTCTGAACAGAATATACACACAGTATATGTGGAATACATTGTGTGCAAAGATGATACACAGCATGTGACTGTCAGTAGAGCAGTACCTGTGTGCACATTGTAGCCGGGCTATTGTTACTATGTTAATGAGGCGATTAGCCTTGTTGGTGAGGAGCAAGGGGAAAAAAAGGGGAGAGAGAACTTTTCACCATTAGAGGGAGATGTCAGTGCACCAAAGCAGTGCTCCAGATTCCCTCTTCCTGTACAATACAAATACACACACAGAGGGGCTTCAGACTTTTGGTGAGGGAAAGGAATAAAGACAAAATCATCCAGCCAGCAACCCATGAAAATGCTCTGGAAACTGACGGATAATATTAAGTACGAAGACTGTGAGGTAAGATAAGAACTAAAAATCTCTCCAACAATCCTTTGCTTCATTTTGGCGACTAATCGCTCATTTGAACTTATAGGAGCCAAGTTTCTGCATCGTGTTCTGAGCACCTCACCTCTGTATGTCTGTCTCTCCTTCTATCTACCAGTCTGTCTGTCTGCACTGCACTTCTATCTATCTATCTATCTCTATTATTATATATTATAATTTGCATAAAACTATATATATATATATATATTAAGAAAAAATTATCTTTGAGAGACTGTGAGACTTTGTCATCAAGTCATCAGGGGGATGTTGACTATCAATTTGGAATGTAAAGTATTTTAATCACGGTGAATTAATTAAAAGTTACTATTTATTATTGTTATTATTATTATTATTATTATTATTTATTAGATGTGGTCCTGCTCTGACACATTTTTCTCTATGATTTGAAATACGCTGGTACCTTTCACGTTGAGATCCAGTTTATTCCTGCATTGCTGTGTTATATTTCTTAGGAATTGTAGCTTTATATTCAGATTTTTTTATGAATTGTACCTTGTTGGGTTTTAATGATTGGAGAGTTAAGAAAGTGAATCCATCGGTGGATTTAGATGTTGTGATCTAGATTTTTTTTTTTTACCTTCTCGGTGTTCTGATGTTAAATCACCCAGCCTTTGGGATGAGTAGTAAGTTAGGCATTGGTAGTGAGTTTGGCTTACTGGCTTGTTGTGACTTGCAGGCAGCTGCACTGAAAGGTGTTCATGAGGATTCCCCAAGTGGCTGGTTTGGTTTTTAAGAGAAAGCTTGTCTGCAATGTACAAGTCAATCACAGGTGTGATCAGATTAGTCATAGCTAAGTAATATCAATCTATGTCTGTGCTGTTCAGATCTATGTCTGTGCGTTCAGATACATTTTACATTATTGTTATTTGACTTGATTATATATTTTGCACTACCCCTTTGATTTACAAACGTGTTTCTATTACAACAACAAAAAAAAACAAAAAACATCCATTTCGATTTAGCTAAAATGTATTCCTTAATCCTGATTTGCTCTTTTTAACAAAAAATATTTTTTGCATTTTGTTAGAGATCTGTAAGGCATAGCTGCACTTTATCATGAAATCAAGATTATTGTGTGAGGATCACAAGCCATTTGTAAAATCCCCATAATTAGAGCGGAGTGAAATGTTTCGGTTTTCAGATCTAGCTGCTCACAATCAGCCTTCCAGTGTGATAGATAAAGAGCCCATTGCAGGCTTACTGCACCCAAACTCCAGTTCAGAGACTGTAATCTGCCTTTCAATGTGAGATTAAAGCTTTATTTTGTTAGGTGTGCATAGCTGTGTAGGAACATGCAGGCGCTGAATGACTATTGTTATTCTAACCCTAGCCAGCTAGGAGCTCTCTGTAAAGTTGAGCATGTAATATTTTGGAGGAGTTGTTTGCTGGAGTTGTAGAGCCAGTCGGACAGGTTTGGAGTGGGAAGAAAGAGCCAGGATCAGGCGGAAGGGACACAGCAGCAGAGCCGGGCTAAACCAAGCTGTGCTGGACTCAAGCTGTCCCAAGGATAGCCAAGGACTGCAGGCAGCCTGATCCAAGAGTCCCACCTGACCCAGACCCAGGTCCACAGAGCATCCTTAGCCTGGATCTCCAATCAAAGTGAGAAAATCACAGCCTTTCCAGAGTTAAAGACTTTCTGTGCTCCCTTCCGGGACCAGCATGCTCTCAAAACAAGCACAACCAGGGCTGAGCTGCTTCCCTGTCTGCTGCCCACTCTTTGTCTGAGCCCCAGCCTGCTGTGTGTGTTCTAGGGGACAGGATCTGCTCTGCATTCTGAGAGCTAAACCGAAACAGGGAGTTAAAAGGAGACTTCTCTCTAAGCACAGCATAAAAGGCAGGGTTAATTATAGCTGAGGGGAGCAGGAGATTTCAGAGATCTGCCTGGCTGGATTTGCTGGCTGCTTTATTTGTTGCAGGCTAATTTTATCTGCAGGAAAGGGAAGCATTTTTTTTTTTTTAAAGGGGGGGTGGGGGTGGTTGTGGTTGTTGTGGTTGAAGCCCATCGGGCTATGGATCAGGTTCAGAGGACTGGAGATCCGGGCCCCTCGGATACAGAAATGAAAAGCAAAGAATTGGAGAGTACAGGCAGCCTTCCCAACCCCAGCAGCAAGAGGAGGACTTCAGAGCTTCCCATGGCATATCCAGCTTATTCCCAGGATTCTCAGGTGCCAATCCCTTGTACTAACCCCCATCCCTCCTTTACTGTCAACTGCTGATCCCCACACTCTAGAACTCTTTCACTTTACATGCCCTCCAACCTTTACAACGTCCCCTCTTCCCTGTGATTCGCCAGCCAACCCCCCTCTCTCTCTCACTCACTCTGTGTCTCTCCCCCCTTTATCCTCCCCCTCCACCTCTGATTAGATACACTGATTCTTCATTCAATGGACGTCATTTAGAACAAGGCACTGCCTTGAGTTGCTTCCCCGGTTCATGCTCGATTTGCAGCCATTCTTCCTTTATTAAGTATTGGTGTAATATTAATAGTCATGAATATCTGCTATTAGTGGCTCCAAGGAAAACAGCTCGTGTCTGTTAGCAGGAAACCTTTGCACAAGTGAAGAGGAGAACAGAGAGAGAGGGAGCAAGGATTAAGGAAAGAGAGAGAGGGGAAAAAAAACTTTGCATAAAAACATCCCTCCCAGATTGTGTTTTCAACATCAAATGAAGAAAAATTTATTCAACGTCTGATGGATTATGGTCTTTGGTCGGTGCATAAAAATCGGTGGCTTTATGTTTTTTTACTTATAATATTTTAGTGCTGAGTGTTTTTTTTAAAAGCACATCGTTCTTTTCCCTCCTTGGTAAATTATTTCCGATTTCTTACCTTGATTTTTTAACATACTATTCACAAATGTTAGTTCACAGTTTTTCCGCTATGGTGAGTTATTGAAATAGTTTTTTATTTTTATTTTTTTATTATATGTGCATATTTTTTTTTTAATCATTATTACCTTTGTTATTCTATTTTGTACTTCGTCGTTTTTGTTTTTTGTTTGTTTTGTTTTCGGTTTTTCATTTGTCGGTTTATTTTGCCTGTTCGAAAACACCCACGATTTTGATTTTCCACCTTTTCATGGGATATTTTGTATCATTCATTATGTTTTATTGCTGTTATTACACGCTGTTGTATCTCATGTGCCTCCTGTCTGCTCTATGATCAAATAAGTCTTTACTATTCGAAAACATATATCTGTTTAATGTTAACCTTAAACATATGCTAGAATGGTATGTGCTCTAATTTAATGCATGCTTCTTTACCTCTCTCCGCCAGGGCTGATGGGGAAAAAAAACAAACATTTTTTATGCCTTCTATATTTTGTTTGCTGCATTACAATGCTTTTTATTGCTTTTATTAAATCTCCATTAAATGCATTGTATGGCCTGCATACCAGGAGAATTGTGCTACACAGTGTTCCACGCTGTAAAATCAGACAAAACAGGCATTTCAACAAAATAAAGAGACTTGTTGTCACTTAGATCATAACAAACCATAGTGGGCTTATCTTCCAGAATTCAAGCATGGAGATAGCTAAGGCTTAGTATGTGAAAAATATTTTAATGCAAGATGATGGTCTTTGTAATTGAAACTTGATTGTTAACATTTTTAAGAAATAATAAAAGATTATATATATATATATATATATATATATATATATATATATATATATATATATATATATATATATATATATAAACATTTCTTAAAAATGTTAGAAATCGTGTGAAAGTTAATATATATATACCTCGGGTCAGTAATAATAATTATGTGCTTATATAGGGGTAGTGTATGTCTGTGTGTGTGGCTGTGTATGTATGTATCCAGCTGTGGAATCCATATCCATTATTCTTGTTTTTGTATTCCTTACCCATCTAATGCTCCCTATGTCTTTGGCTATTTTTTTAGGATCGCCATGATGGTACCAGCAATGGGACTGGTCGGCTCCCCCAGCTGGGCTCGGTGGGCCAATCTCCCTATGCCAGCGCTCCCCCACTCTCCCACACCCCCAACGCTGACTTCCAACCCCCCTATTTCCCCCCTCCGTATCAGCCCATATACTCCCAGTCTCAAGATCCCTATTCTCACGTTAGTGATCCCTATAATCTTAACTCACTCCATGCCCAACCGCAACCTCAGCACCCAGGATGGCCAGGGCAAAGGCAGAGCCAGGAGGCCAGTCTGTTACACTCACACCGGGGGCTGCCCCACCAGCTGTCTGGCCTGGACCCTCGCAGGGATTACAGGAGGCATGAAGACCTACTACACGGCCCTCACGGGCTCAGCTCAGGACTTGGGGACATCCCTATCCACTCCATACCTCACGCCATTGAAGACGTCTCGGTAAGCTATGACTTGTATAGATCATCATGACAAAAAACAAATACTTAATTTCTCATGATTTATCTTAGCTTCTAAAAACTATACTTTCTCAGATCACAGACCCGAAGAAGGAATTGTTAAAAAAATAAATAATAATCTTCCATTTCTCACAAAACCAGGAAATGATCCTTAAATCTGTGTTTATTTGATGTCCTCATAAAATAAATAAAACAAAAATCAGCTTTTCAATAGGTTTGATAAAGGAATAGAATGCAGGAGAAAAAAATGTATTTTTAGGGCTAATGCAGCTGATATTAGTCTGAATATTTATAGCTGTAGACTTATATCAATCTAAAGACTTAGGTCTGCAGAAATGAATGGGCGGGCTTTAATAAAACAATATGCATCTTACTATTAAGAAAAATGTGGGGGAAATCAGTGAAGTGTTGCTCAAATGTGTCCATGTAGCTGACATAACTGTAAAATATAAAATGACATCATATTAAAAGGAATCTTGTAATAGATGTATATTAAATATACACAGTTATAACCCCATAGGAAATCTATCAGTATATACCAAGGCCATCTATGAACTTGTAGCAAATTAAATAACTTGAAACAGTCGAATAATATATTATTCGGATGTGATTCGGTTGTCAATGGGTGCAATTAAACTATTTCCCAATTAAACAGGACACTGGTCATTTATTTCACTAAACAACTAAATACAAAAGCAGACATATTGTAAACAAATCGATTGAAGGACATTCCACAGTTCTGTTTGTAACCTTGAAATATCCTATATTATTTATTGAAATGGCCAGCTAGTTTAATGAAATAGCTGGCAAGTGTAATGCATATTTATTAATAATACACACAGAAAAAAAATCCAGATTTGCAGAAGTACATAATGCAGTCATATTGGTGTTGACAGTTTAACGATTTCAGTGTCTTCTGGCTGATTTGAGGTTATACAGACATTTTTTAACACGCCACAGTTTCGTGGATATTTAAAAATAAATATGAAAAATGAAAAAATAAACTGTGGTTGTTTGACAATGTTTTTGTTGAACTGAAATGAAAAAAAAAATGATGTTTGTAGTTACATAATATTTAGATGTTACAATGTTTAACATAGGATCTCAAGAGCCTTCTAATTATATGTTTATAAAACAATTGCACAATGCAATAGTCGATCAGTTTTAAAGAACAAAGGCTGTGTGGGACCTAGTCACTGCTGCAGCCAGTAATTCAATATTTTACCATTATAATGACCTGTCATTCTTCATATCACAGGCATTTACATTAAATTCTACCTCATGCGTGTTAAATATAAATATAAAGTAGGTTACCCGGGGCAAACGAACGATATGGGCGGCTATTCAGGATTAACTTACTCTTTGTTATTTGTTAAGTGTTCTTCTTCTGTGTTTTGTGATTAAGCATTTCAAAGACCATAAATATGAATAAACCATATGCAGTATAATATCAAAACTGAAGGGTTAAAACGAATTTAAATGGCAGCACTAAAATCATTTTCAGTTACCACTGACAGCCACATTTTCCTGATAGAGGTAAATAGGCCCTTAATAACTAGGAAATAGTTTAATGATGACATAACTAAGTAAGGTATATTAAAGTAAGTATTAGGCTTAACTGAATGTTTTAGTTGAAAAAAATAAATCCAAATCAAAGTATTAGACCACAGTACATTTATTTTATGGATCTTATGTTGTAGCACAAAGGGATCATATTTCTCCATATACTTAGAACACAAGGGCTGTAGTAGACTATTCTGAACATTTCTCAATTTAATTATACTTAAATTCAGGAGCACTTTAGGCAAGTTACAAATGAGAGCATTGAGTACAATAAAACATGTAATAAAGCAACTTAGTACCATCCACCCGGAATCATAGAGATCAGCCTCAATTAACAGGAGCATAAATCTAAGAGGGAATGGTAAATGTACTTAACATGTCTATTATTATTGGGCAAAGGCATAGAAATAAGTGGCGATTAATGACAGTATCAATGTGCTGGAAAATTGTATTATCAAATGGATCAGATCAGAACCAGGCTGGTGCTCTGATCACAGGCCAGCTCCTTTTCAGAGCTTTCCTTTTACTGGTTAAATGTATCTCATTCAGTTTGCATGTGTGGTTTCTGTTCTGATCCTGCTACTAATAAATTGCATTAGATAGGGGTTTTGTTCTAGAAAAAAAAGGCAAATTCCATATTTCCTTTTGATTTGTTTTTGAACATTTGTTTCAGTTTTGATTTGATTGTAACATGTTGTTTAGCATTTAGAATTGGGGATGTCGATGGAGCCTCCCTATGATGCTTGATTTGCCCTCATTCTTGAAATTAGAATTGGATACATTTTATGTTTTGTTAGTTTTTTTTAAATTTCGAAATATTTCCTGCTTTCTGTTAAACACCGGGATCCAGGGTGGAATTGTGAAATCGTTACTATTGCAATGTTTTGCCCACAATGCTGGCTCTCAAAGGGTTAATCTGGCACTGTGAATGGACTTTGTTGTTTTTTTCTTAAAATATGAAAACTGTTTTAGCATTAATGATAGAACGTTCCAAAGTATCAAATTGAAAAAAAAAAAACAAACAAACAAAAAAAAAAAAAGCTACAGAATTCCTAAAACGTTGAACACGTTGCAGCATACAGCTATTGCAAGCTCTGTTATACTTGTATTTTTTATTAGCACAGTATTGACAGGAGTCTCAGAATTCCCTCTTTTTGTTGTGGCAGTGTATTAAAACATTTATGTATTTCTGTTGTTGCAGCACGTAGAAGACCAAGGCATCAATATCCCAGATCAAACTGTAATTAAGAAAGGTAGGCTATTTTCGTTTGCATTCCTAACAAGTTCTCACAAGCTTTTTCCATACTTAAAAAAGGCCAGGCTTCGTTTTGAAGTATTTAAAACTTGTAGTCTGAACAGATATTTACACATATTCACAGATATATTTGTAGAAGTATGGTTCCATTTTATTTTTTAATGTAGTCACATACACATCTTTATAAATGTTTGTGTGTGTGTGTGTTTGTGTGTAATGTTTCACTGTACGTATTATTTAAGTAGATATTAACATATCACATAAACCGCATGCCTGTTTTTGGTCTGTGTAATGGCTTCCTTTCAGAAGATACTGGTTCAGTTCTGGGTATATATTGTGGGTATTGAACAATAGGTCTAGTTTATTAGATGACTCCAATAATACAGTATGTGATTATTCGCTATTGTAGCAGCGCATGTGGCTGATAGAACAAGGAATGATACCAGTACCAAGCATTATTTTCATAAACAGAAAACAGATACATAGTTATATTTTATTAATGAATAATAAATAACCAGAAAACGAAATTACTTTTATGTATCATTTTTTTTTTAAAATCACTATTGCGATTTAAATTAAGGGAGATAGATCTGAGAGATACTCTTTGCGAATACAACATGATAATTGGTTCTTCTATTAGTAATCTCAAGAGTTCGTTTAACTCCTATTGTCTCTATTAGCCTCCCCAGAGCTATTAATGTCACAAGTGATCTATCCATAGCAGAGTCCCCATACGTCTGAATATCCCCACCAAATTAGACACACACCACTTCCATACCCACATGATTATACATTTAGTTACATCCCTGGCTATTTACATACATAACATATGGAGCATGAATGTGGATCTTCTGAGTGCATGTTACATGTGCTTTCTTGTGCCTGCATTGGGCAAGCAATGTGTGTAGCTGGTCTAGATTTTGGGGTAGGTAATCCACATTATTATGGATGAGTGGGGTGAGAGATTTAGAATTTGTTCTAAAATAAAAGACAAATTGCAACATATTCATATTTTCTACATTGTTTTTTTAGCCCAAGTTAAAATTCCTCAAATATGACACTTTAGCTCAATGTCTAAAGAGAAATTGAATAGGATATTATTTATGCTCTTACAAATAATGAAAAATCGTCACTATGGTCATTGCAGAATAAAAATGATAAAATAAATGAAAATGTCAGTAAGATGAATCTTTTAAACACAAACGAACATACATAAACAAAATGTCTACAAACATGTATACACATATATTATGATTGTATTTCTTGTAAATGGATACTTATAAAAAAAAAAGACTGTTTTTCATTTTTGACGTCATTGTCTAATATCATTTTTAAGGAAGTTAACGCAGACCTTTTAATTTCATAGAATATAGAAAAATGTAATTTAAGTGTGTCCATTCCTTATTCGGGGTCTATTCGCTAAACAGCGAATATGGATCCATTAAGAGACGATTTGTAAAATTTTAGCTAAGTTAAAAAAAAAAAAAAATGCTCCAGAACTAGTGAATTGAGATCTGTTTCTGCCTCTGATATTTAACCTAACTTTTTTCAAATCGGTTCTCTGCTCAGCATAGCTCGCTGTTTAGTAAATTGATACCATTGTGAAAAATAAGCGTGTTTCCCAAATTTTGATTTAAGTATTGTATTTGAGAAAAATATTGAAAATAATCCTATGCTTAAAGTCCTACATGCCATAATCTTAGTATTAGTGCTTTTATCTTTGGGTGAACAAATCATTTATAAATCGTATTTTTTCCGTCTTAATATTATTTGAACTGCTTTTTACTTAAGCTGAAAGATCAGTGCTCCTTGTTTAAGTTTGGGCATAAAATTGTCCAGATCTGTGTGGTACATCCTTGCATAGTGGGTAATGTTGCAAGAGGGGGTGTATCTTAGTACCAAACTATCTAACCATAATCAGTAATTAAATCAGACAGAATTTTCCCTCAACAAGACATTGTGCAGTTCAAATGCCACTTTCTGCCTCAACGTGGCGCTTGAGGACTTTTCTCTTTCCAAGTCTTTCTGCTCTCTTGGTTAACCCTGCTCATTGCTGGAGGCTTTAACACATCTACACATCGCTGGTCACTGCCACATTACTGGCCAAACAAAGCACACATAGAGCACATCATAAAATAGCAATAATTATCTATCTACTGCTAGCACTACTCTAATCCAAAAACATGTCAAGAATTCTCTATTCAATATTGAAATCATTGTTTAGAGAAGTATTTATGGCTATGAGGGATTACAGTCTGCTTAGGAAAGAAAACCAGTAAAACACACACACACACACACACACACACACACATACATACATACATACATACACACACACACACACACACACACACACACACAAAACCCCCCAAAACAAAATATATAGGAACAAAATTTGTAATACACACAACAGCCATGTACTACTATACACAATATATATATATATATAGTGTTGTGTGTGTCTATATAAATATATATAAAATTCGAAAAAGATATGTGTATTTAATAGTTACTTTTTTCCATTTACTTAGTGCATGCACACACATTGTTGTTTTGCAGCAAGTTATAATGCTGCACACTTACAATCACCCTTTGCATTATATATATATATAAAATAATTATAAAGAAGAAACTCTTTTAGTTTCCTGTCACTCCTGTTTCTTGCAGGGCCTGTATCATTGTCTAAATCCAATAACAATGCAGTATCGTCCCTCTCTCTCAACAAAGACAATCTGTTCGGTGGAGTAGTCAATCCCAATGAGGTGTTCTGTTCAGTTCCTGGCCGCCTGTCTCTACTCAGCTCAACTTCAAAGTACAAGGTGACAGTGGCAGAAGTACAGAGACGATTGTCCCCGCCCGAGTGCCTCAATGCTTCTCTGCTGGGTGGAGTGCTTAGGAGGTAAGATTCTGTTCCTGCTGTGTCTCTGGGGTTTGGGATTGCTTGTGGTGATTCATCTGTTCTCAGCTTGTCTCCTGGTGTATTTTCAAGTTTTGGTAAAATATCAGGGAACCCAGGTAAAAGATAAGAAAATGAATCAAAGGTTTTCATATTAGGAAACTACACGTTGAACCATGGGCCCATATGGATACAGAATGATTCTGGGGAAAAGTTCCAAACTTGCAGCTACCAATAGGAACATTCCATTGGTTTCCATAGTGATAGATCTACTTTAGAACGTTACCCACAATTTGCTGTTGCTACTAAATATCTGCAGCTATGTAACAACAGTTAAGATATATTGACCTTATTTATACTAGATCTCATAGAGATTATTAGATGTTAGGCTAATGGAGCCACTGAACATAAACACAATGAGAGTTGACATTAGGTGTATTTGCATGGAGAGAGAATCTGTATTTGCTCCTAGTCATTAGCTGTTGACTATTGCAGGGTAATTTTAAGGAGTTACTGGTAAAATAACAGCTCTGTAGGTGCTAGTGCTGATGCTATGTTGTTTGTGATGAGGGATTGCATCATGGAGACTGGTGTTTTGTATATTAAATGTCCCTTCAAGGTGCATATAAGGACATGCAGAGTACATACAGAGTATGGGCCTTGCACTGGGTGATACAGAAAAGAAATGAAATTGTGTATGTAACCAAATCTGAGTTTGCTGAATGAAGTGTTGCATCAATTTTGGATGGTGTTCAGGAAATTTCCTTTTTTTTCGTTCTCAAGACTTTGTTTAACCGTTTGAGAGCCAGGTATAAGCCCACTCAGCAGTTCACCTTAAATACTGTTGCCGTTTTCTTTTCTTTCATAATGCTGTCGAGATGACAGTTACAATGGCACACGTGTATGGTGTCTAACAACTATTCATAAACAGTGGTTACTTACCCCTAAGGCACAAGGGAGGTGGCATGTCACTGAAGCCTTAGTATACAATGTGTGAGGTTCCATCAACATTAACAGGCTGTTGACATACATTGGTCTAAAACCACGCCCCCTTTGCTCTAGAATCACACCCACGAGGCTAGAATGACACTAGATTAGAGAATAAAAAAGGCAGATAGGCTCCAGAAGACATTCATATTATGATAAATAAACTCTGTCTTATTCAAAGTAGTATATATATATATATATATATATATATATATTTAAATATGCACATATACACTGAGGTAGCATCTCTATAACAATGCTAATTCATTTTAAATTCGTTATTATTATTATTATTATTATTTACATTCAGAAATACAATCTGGGTATGCTTGATAAGATTAGCCAACACGAAATAAACTGAAAATACAGTAAGATTGGTTCTGCGCTATTTTCTATAAATAGATAAAAAAGCAATTCTAATTAGGTGCTTATTTCCTGTGCAATACATAATTTATTAAGTTCGAACACTTTTTGGTTGAGTTTAAATTGTGTAAACTAAGAATACATTATTTATTTAGTTGCTGATTTAATGGTATATATCCAATTTTAACCTCAATCCCTTAGTAGTATTTTAATGTCATTGTACTTTGCGACGTTTTTTTTTCTGTCGAAATGATTTGTTGTAATTAACAGCCTTGCATTAATAATAAATAAATCGCAAGCCATGACCAATCTTTTTATCAATTCTAATTACAATATCAATTTGATACAGCGTAATGCTTATTTAAATTGGTTCGGTTACAGGAAGAAAAAAAAATCCCAACTTGCATGCTATTAGTTTAGAGAATAACTCAGCTTAGAATAAGGAAATGTTATTTCACCCTGATGTCTATCAGGTAAACACAACACTCTAGAATTAATTGTGGTATTCTAGACGGCAATTTAACCCTTATCTTCCCAAAGGAATATGTACTGAGGTTTGTTTTAATAATCATATTAAGCTTCAGACATTTCAGCATATGATGCAATTCTAACAATTCTTTTATATTACCAGTTCATACCACTTGTCAGTGTCTAAATTCATCCAGGTATCATAGGTTTCTCATTAGAAATTTGTATCTAGGGTAATCCTACTGTGCTGTAAGTATCAAGTTATTAGTTTAATTGTAACCCTTCAGAATGTCCTTATTATTATTACTACCTGATCAAATAACACAGGCTGTATTTAGGAAAGTCATGTGGATCTTGAGTAAGGAAGAGAGGATCAGAGACAAAATAACTAAAACCAGGAAAAATAAAACTATATATATGTATATTTAAACCACATATAATATGTTCATTAAATGCACGTGTTTGCTTAAAATACAAAACACTAACTGTACACAGAAATCAGTTAGTACATTTTTCATTTTTCCTGCCACATACCTACCCATGCCCCCTTCACAGGTCTAACTTTCTTTGAAAACAATGCACAAACCTTCCCTTTTTTTCTGAAATACAGGATTAATCTGATTTCTCTGATGCCCTTCAGAGATGTCCCATACAAGACGTTAATGCCACGTTCTAGCTGGGCCACCAATATCTAACTATAGGAGCATTCATGTGTTCTCTAAATGACATGAATGGAGGGGTAAGGGGGTGGCCTCATTTTACTGGGTCAGAATAGGTCACTTTTCTGAGCTATGATGATCTTGGTCCGTGGCCATGTCAACACATTCCTCTTCCCAGCACATCAATTAAATTTTGCCCTTGCATGGAGTGACCTGTGTGAAAGTTTTCTGTGTTGAATGATTTAGGGAGGAGTTCACGTGACGTCAAAATGTTTCAATGCATTCAAAGCCTGGGACATTGGCTTTAAAAGAGCACTGATAGAGTTAATGATAGGAACAAGGGAGGTTATGTATAAAGCACTATTCTGGGGCAAAGTTCCAAAAGTAATGCAATCAGCAGAAACAGATATTGGTTTCCATGGTGATCACTCCTACTACAGTTAGAACTTTGCCTAAACATTGATCTTGGAAACTAGCTGTTTATTATTATATTAGGATTAATGTTTCAAATGTCTAACTGATATTTTATGTGGGAAACACACATATGTTGATTTATCATAACATACTGTGGTTGTTGATCAAAATACTAATTTGCTTACTTCAAAACAATAATGTATACATTTGCTTTATATACCAGTGTGCTTCAATGTGATTGGTGCAATCTTGAATTGAATTTATTCGAATGAAAATATTACATCCTAAATGTGTTCTTTTTTGATCATTTCTTTGATTGTATCATCATTTGTTTACAAAAAGAAATATGTGATTTAAGTTCTTTCCTATGTTAAATGTGTAAATGACTAAGTGCTTATTTCAGTCTATCACTTATCCCCAAACTGGTTAAATAAATGTTTTTTTACATTTTTTATTTTATAACTTTTTTCTTTTCTTTTTTTTTATAGGGCAAAGTCCAAAAACGGAGGGCGATCGTTGAGGGAAAAACTAGATAAAATAGGTTTAAATCTCCCAGCAGGGAGGCGTAAGGCTGCTAATGTTACCTTGCTCACATCTCTAGTAGAAGGTAAGGAACAATTTATTTGTTTTTCTTCTATCTGCAGTAGCTAAACCGACCATAATCGTTCCTGATTGCCATCATTTTCAGATCTCAAATATGACCAAAAAAAGGCCAATACCAATTTGATAATAGTTACATACTTAGTTTTAAGTTGTTTTCTTTCAAAACAATATAGTAAATAGTTTAAGCTGATCTGCCATCTGCAGAGAGAGAGTGGCTGACTATTATTTCCTGAATTACTTTGGGGATGCTTGACCTATGCCAGAGGGAACATTACCCTGTGAGGATCTGACGTGGTCTGATTGCTGCTTCGAAAATATAGGAAGTGAATCTCAACAAAGCTACAAAACATTGTCCCTTCTTGTACTATTGTAGCAAATAATACACCATGCATGCTTCGATGACACAATTAAAAACAAATTAACCATAAAATCCAACAAAATATATTCTAGAATGTGGTGTAATATAATTTAACAAAAGCAAATAAAATATTATATTGTAAATACTATTTTATATTGTTCTGAATTATGTTTGCTTGAAACCCCTTAAAACAGAACAGGAGTAAATAATAGGGTAATTTAAATCTGAATATTGTATCAAACTGCAATGCATAGGGGTTAAATATGGAGAGCTATTCTGGGGCAAAGTACACGTTCAACTGCAACATTCTATTGTTTCCATGGTGATTGTTCCACATTTAGAACGTTGTCCCAGAATTAATTCTTTAGGAATAACCCCGATAGCAACGTGTTTTAAAAGGGCTACACTTCACATGTAACGCTCACAGAGCCTACACTGTCTTAAAGGGATACCTCGCACGTCACACTTCTAGAACACATGGCAATTGTCTGTCTGCTTTTGTTTGTGATGTTTGTAAAGTAGGCGAGAGAAATGAGGTTTGTAGAGGGTGGGAGGTAGATACAATCGGTGTCCTGGCCTGATGAGGCAGTTCCTGATGAGTGCTGTTACTGTTTATGATCTGTTCCATCCTTCTGGAAACCAGCTCAGTGCCTGGGACTTTGAAGCCCTAATTGGCGCATGCGTTCTTCCGGAGTGCAACTAATAGCAGGAAACCCTGCAGTAAAATCCAACTGCTTCAGGAAATTAAAACCAAAGATTTGAAAATCAACAAAACAGACAGACTCCGAGCACTGACCCCGAAATTCTCATAGCTAATCGTTCAGGATATAAATATAAAAAAGGAGATCACTTTAAAGAGTAAGAGTCATCACATGTCAGCACTTGGACCACTGCCCTATTCTCTAATTCCAAGTGGCTGTTGAGGAATCTATACATTAATATGTATATATATATATATTTAGTTACAGAGTAACTGCTAAACGGATCAGTAGGTTTAATGCACTGTTTTGAAGGAACAGATCGAGGTCAAATAATTTCATGTATAACCCTGTGATCATTCATTATTAGTATAGCGTGTTACTAAATTATATCTATGCTGTGATCTGTGCATTTATTTATTTATAACCCAAAACAAACGTATAACAATTAAACTGTACTTGTAATATTTCATTGTTATATACTATATTTATTTGGAGGAATTTGATATCCTCTGCAATAAGGTTGTGAATGGAAGCTAGCTTGAACAGGGCCCTCAACACCCATACAAATACATGTGTGTTAGTCCACCTATTGTACAGCGCTGCGGAATATGTTGGCGCCTTATAAATAATAATAATAAAGTAGAAGTATATACACAAAACAGTGACTACTGATCCACTAGTCATATTTAATATTTAGATATAAAAAATTAAATTAAAAATAATGTCCTGTTGATTACAGTTAGAGATTTTATTTAACTCTATCATTACTGTATTATGTTGTAGATCTATTAGTTCTCAACACACTGCTTAGTGAATAGAGCTCTCATTTAAAGTCCACATCATGATATATTCTTTGTTGTTTTTATTAGTAGAGTTGGTTTGTGTGTGAAAGGTTTGGTTTCATGTGAGGCTTGCTATGTGCAATGTATGTAATCAGAAGCAAGGCATTCTTTAGCTGTTTGTCTATGTAAACACAAGTGCTGAACAAACAAAATCTCCTTCCTTGCCACTTTCACTCACTCAGTATTTGTTCTGTTTCTTTGAAGGAGAAGCTGTTCATCTAGCCCGGGATTTTGGATACGTCTGTGAAACCGAATTTCCTGCCAAAGCAGTAGCTGAATATGTCAACCGACAACATTCTGACCCAAATGAGCAAGTGACGAGGAAAAACATGCTGCTGGCTACAAAGTAAGGAATCATTCTAGAACATTCTAAATGGGTCAATAGTGGGATGGTTTGGGAATAACACCACCACCAGTTGGCTGAGATCACACATAAGTTTGAGGGTTTGTTTCAAATGATATTCAGACAGCTTTGCATCAGGCGAAACGTTGTCCATAGCACCTGTAGCACATTGTATAAACATTCACAAATGTAGTTGTTTAACATCAGGGCCTCAAATAGACCCACATTTATTTCTATGTCTGTTTAGAAAATGGTGGATTAAACATATCTAATGAAACAATGAACTCCCTGATATTTTTAGCTAGATACAATCATTTTAGTAAACGATTTCCAGAAAATCATCCCTGAGGCCTGGAAGCCAGCACCACTGAGAGGGAACCTTTATTCCCCAGCTAAGTGATCTAGTTTGGCAACAGACCTATAGAGCAGTAGGGAACCTGTGAAACCATGCTTGTATCCTATATCTTATACTAAATACACAGCGATAAACTATTGGCACTTATAGACTGTGCAGAGTTAATCATTTTCTACAAGCAAATAGCTTCCCATCTTGGAAGCGATAAGAATTCAACTCATTAAAGTACTTATCTTAATTAACTGGAAATCCAGTGCGTGCCTAAGCACAAGACCGTTCAGATATTTCCTTTAGCAGGGCTGTATTTTAATATATGTTTACATAATTTCTGTTAAACATAGAATTGAGAAATTGCTGATAAGGATCACACTGACCATTGTAATATTTTATACTTGTGTCATCTAAGATTGGAAACACGTGCCAGGAAAGTCATTATAGTAAGACAACATATCTTGGGGCTGTTTGCCTTTGAGTGTTAGTGAATTGTCATTGCAGAGAGATTGCTTTGGAACTTATGTACTTATGTATAGTTTGTCCAGTTAGTGCCATGGTGCACTGGAGGGATAGCTGTGCAGAATATTATATATAGATAAGAATACCTTGAAACATTGTTGAGCAGAACATCAAGAGTTCCAGTGGATCCATACAAAATAGATTTTAAGATAACTTCAAAATTAACTTTCTAGATGCTGGGAGGTCCATTTTATAGGTAGAAGTACATATGAGAACGATATATTGATCAGATTCCAAGTTATCATCAGGGTTAAAGCTGACAGCAGAATATATAGCCTAATATATTATGACATGTAACACTGCTTTAGAGTGAGTGATAAGTTTTTGTTTGGCCTACACAGAGTCCCTAGGCTTAAACCTTCTAAGGGTTCCTTTTAGAACATGTATCTGTGTTAATTGTAAGCATTAATAATGCTCAATGCTTGTATCCTTTATTATCATATTGATAAATTTGTACAGTTCAATCTGACCTATTTATTCTGTTTTTTTACAGACAGATTTGTAAAGAATTCACAGATTTGCTGTCTCAGGACAGATCCCCTTTGGGTAATTCAAGACCTTCTCCTATTCTAGAACCAGGTATCCAGAGCTGTCTGACTCACTTCAACCTCATCTCTCATGGGTTTGGAAGCCCAGCAGTATGTGCAGCTATCACTGCCCTGCAGAATTATCTTACAGAGGCCCTCAAAGCTATGGACAAAATGTACCTCAACAATAACAACCCCAACAGTCACACAGACAACAGCAAAGGAGGGGACAAAGATGAAAAGCACAGAAAATGATCTCCATTTTGGTACAACTCTATATTGATACTTTACCCTGTGGGACTAACAGATACCATTATATGGCAATCCTGCTCCAGATGAGGAACACTGGTCTGCTCTAAAACCTTGCCCTCCCATCTATGGATTCTTGACAGAACAGGCTATGGATGGAGCCAGCAATGAAAATTCTGTCTTTAGTGTTCGAACTTTTTATAAGAGGACTTTTTTTTTTTTTCTAAAGAAACAAGATAACGATTATTAAACAAAAATATATCTATATATATATGAGTCATCGGACTAAGTCACCATCTTCCCTTACAATGCTCTAATTGAGATTGTGGCCATTGAAAGAAGGCACAGAGGAAACACTTATCAGTATTGTGAATAAACTTGACACAAAATATTTGCAGTTCCATGTCATGTCTTCAAGTTATACCTTTTTTTCCTCTAAAGGTAATTTAAAAACATTGAACTTTCTATTGGACCGAATTCACATACAATATATAAGGGAATCAGTGTTTATGTATATATTTATTTATGTGTAATTTAATGGGGATTGTAAATATGGTGAGTCTGTTGAAGCTTTTTTTTTATTTTTATTTATCTGGTGATCTGTTTACCTATTGTTTAGTGGGTTTTCAATCTTCCTTCTTAATTTTTTATTTTCATGTGGTTCTTAGTACTTAATTAGGAAGCAGAGTTTTATCGTTTCTTTCAGTGGGATTCATACTTTTTAGCCCTGTTGTAGCATGGTAAAACAACAAAGAAGCAACAGAACAAATAATAATAATAATAAAAAAAGACAATAAAATGCATTTTATAAATGATTAGTTTGAAACTCAGCCTTTCATTTTGCAGAAGAGAATGCATTTCTTAACTTCACTTTGGACCCTAACTTAAAAAAAAAATAAAAAATAAAATACCAATGATCTCAAACAATTTTTTTTTGGCTTTAAGAGTGATTGGAAATTGGTAAGGGGTGAGCTTTTGCCTCAATTGACTTTTAACCCTTTAAGTTGCTCTCCCCCTTCCTTGTCACTCAAAGCTGTGAGTGTGAGAAGAGAGTTGGCAATATTTCTCGCACCTCTCCAGCACTTAAATGGTTAAACGAATTAAAACAATGTCGTACTTATTTTCACGAAAGATGTGTTTTGTCTCAAGTACCGAAAAAAATAAAATACAATAAATAAATAAAAATAAGAAAATAATGAAATCAGAGACATATCTCATTGTCCTTGGTGGAACTACTGCATTGTAGTGACTTGTGATAGCAGGATTCAATGTATTATAGCCTTTTGTTGCCCAGGTGAATAAATATTTGATACGTTTTATGTCGATTTTTTTTTATTCAGTGGCTGTCTTTACCCAGGCGTATTTTTGTCCTTGGCAGTATTTTTTATTCAGTATGGTTACAGTAATTGAGTTTAAGTCTCCCCTGACAATTATTCCCTGCAATAAGCAGCTGAACCCATTGTGTCCCTCAAGTATAATAAAAACTTACTTTCAACTTAGAGTTCAGAGTAGGGGATCATTCTAATCTTTCCACTGAGTTAGTATTCAGCAAAATGACATGATAACTCACAGTTGCATTCTTTTTCATATATGTGTGCATCTATGTGTGTATGTGTGTGTATATATTGTGTATATGTTTGTGTGTGGGTTTATATATATATACACACACACACACATTTTTATACATACATATATATGTGTGTGTGTGTCTATACACACACACACACACACAAACACACACACATTTTTATACATACATATATGATATGTGTGTGTGTCTATACACACACACACAAACACACACGCACACACACACACACATTTTTATACATACATATATTATATGTGTGTGTGTCTATACACACACACACACAAACACACACACACACACACACACATTTTTATACATACATATATGATATAATATATATATATATATCAATATATATATATATAGATAGATAACATTATATATATAATCTTATTATATGTTGGATTTTACAGCTCATATAAATAGAATCCTTTTGCAGTGCTTCGTGAATGGGTAGGTTTGTAAAATGCTTGAGGGTATATTTCATAATTGCCTATGGAAAGCCCAGCATGAGGTATTGAAAAGCGTTAATATTTTTTTTACTTTCTTTTCAAACCCATTTACATGAGATGGGTTGGCCTTTAAATACACTTGAAAAGACATGACAGAAGATTTCTGTGTGTGCATGAACATATATATATATATCCTTTATTCAGTAAATGGGACACGCTGTGTACTGCATTGCAAATCCATGCTTTAGCTCATATTAACTCTGTTAAATAGACATTTTATGTGAGTGTTGGAGTTTCTGCTCAGTTGATACATTGCATTCTGAGATAAGGTCAATTTGTCAGCACGTGTTGAGAAGCTAAGGAAATATCCGAAATAAGCAGTGATTTGGGGTTCCATTCATTCTGTAAGAATCTTAGGCAGACATGTAGAAGGTTTATGGTAAGTTGTTTACAATAGCAATGCAATAGGAATTAACATGTCCTCATGCTGTTTGACGTTTGTTTTAGCTGCTGAAGCAACACATTGGATAAAGCACAAGATGTTTCATTTTCCTCTGTAATCTACTTATGGAAGGAACTGTAAAATCAATCTCACCCAGCTGAGGGGACTTGGACTCTAAATTGTATTTTCATGAGCCAGCTAGCTCATAACAATGCTATATATGTAAATACAAATTGAAAGTGGATCAGCAAAATGCTTAGCTGCAATTGTTTTCTGGAGCAGTTATTTATCCTTATTTTTGAATCTGGAGAGTCTGGTTAGCTATAAAGTAGATGGGATAAAATAATGAGGTGAATGAACCCTAACTGTACGTATTCTTGACATAAATGAAATGCACAGTGTTGCAGCAGGTGAAGTGAAGCATTGTCTATCAGGGCTGCTTTTGTTGGCTGTATCTCAGATTGTGTGTGGGATCCTATCCTGAGGCACAATAGCTTTCATAGACTGCCATCCACGGCTGCTACTATTGCTGCAGCAAAGCAGAGCGATCTTATTAAACACTATTCATTCTCACATGGATTTATAAAATGCTAAGGAGCTTCATTTTTTAAATCACACAATAAATGTGTATGCGGATTGTAGAAAGTGTATATCTATCCATCCATCCATCATTATAGTATGGCTGAAAGAGTGGACACACACACACACCCTCCTATGCATTTTACAGACACCCATTGTTTAGTTAAATTACACAATAAGTAATTTCATTCGATTAAACCCAGAGACTCCTGATTACACCACACACGCAGACAATGACACACACAGACATTTTTGTATTTAAAAAAAAAAGAAAATGGCAGTAATATATATGATGATTGATGCCTATTCCAAAGTTATTTTAAGTACTGATTTACACCCTTCCGCGACTCCACCTCACCTCCTCTTCAGTCTCTTTTCCCCAGCTTCAACCAACAGCCCCCCTCCCCCCAAAAAAAGAATCGAATATTAATATAATTTGAGATTTAACTGGTGGAACAGCCATCAGGATAGCAATGCCCTGCAGCTGAAATAATATTAAAAATAGAAGGGATTTGACATTTGAGAAGTCAGTGGCTTGAAATACCCAGTTGTACTTAGCTAATTCAGTCCTTAACCTCTGGTTTCGAATAAATCAATTACAGTCGATTCCACTTCAGTTCAGAAGTGCACGAGATTTTTAGTTAATTGAATACAGTTTATTCATTTGGTATAAATATTCATATTTTAAACTCTCTGCTTCCGCCAATATAAAATATATGTTTATACTGCTAGTCTAGTGATTTGGGCTAATAGGAGTGCAAAACAGGCTCCCCATGTGCACTTTGGAGACTTATCTTTGTTTGGAAAAACACGAATTTGTTATGGAGTTGGCTTTATTCACTAAACATCGAATGTAAAGAAATTAAATCCAAATTATTTAAATGTAGTCAAACAACCCAAACTGGCTGTAAATATAGGTGTGTTGATGGATCTAGCCAATTCTCCTATTTTGGCTTATATGTAAAAAAATTAGATTTCAGTTTCCAATAGTTGACTGCTTAATAAATACACGCTGAGTGCCAGTTACAGCGTTTATAAAATGTAAGATTTGCAACATATTGTGTACAGAGAACTGTCTGCTTTAACCTTCAATAGTCTATTAAAGAATACGACAGAATGTATCAATCCCTGATTAAGTTACATAGTAGCGCCATTCATTGCAAGATTCTTTACATTTTTGTCAAAGCTCCTTCTACCGGTATAAAACCGTTAAACCATTTGCCATTGTATATTTATTGATATTTTAAAATCTAGTCTAAATCCAAAATATACATTTATCATCTAAATACAGAAAAACAAACCTGTGCCTAACTCATTAAAATGAATGTTTGCTGCTTAAAAAGAGAACGAAAAAAAACCCCCAAAGCTGTTAAATTATTGTATAATGAAATTATTAAATATATTATAGTTCTAATTCTAAATGACACACTTTGGTATAAGACGTTTCAATAACTAGTCTGTTCCTGGGTACAGCTGAATCATGTTTTCTAAACATGGGAACTTCTGTATAGATATTTTTTAATCTAACCCAAAGGTATAGGGCAGCACATAATTATATTTATTGTTCGAATTTTCACGCAAGTAGCGATTTAGTGTTGGGGGAGGGAAGGGGTTAATTAACGTCATGATCAATCACCAATGCTTTCCTAACGTGTCCATTGAATAATCGAATTACAGGGAGGTCTGCATGGAGAATCCATCTGCCTCGCCAGGTTCGAGAGCCCATCCCAGCCAGTTCACATATTGGCAGTCCTCTCACGTCTTGCACAGAATTGTGTGTGTATTATTGGCATATAAAGCATGTTCCAATCGTTATAGATCTTGGCTACATGGAGAATTTCAAACATAAATAACAAATGCAGATTATTTGTTCCATAGGAAAAGCAGGTGCAAGACAAAGATGGGAAAAAAATACAGAAACCCACTTCTCATGTCTACATGTTTCCATTTTTTTGTTGTTTTTGTTTTGCTATTGTGTTCAGTTCTACTCGTGTCAATAAAAATAGAAAAAAACAAAACGTTGTTATGAAACAAACAAAAACAAAATAGAAAAAAAGAACCCCCTGTCCCCCCACAATTTACAGCATTCCAATCCTAACAGTCCTATTCTGTAAATTGGTATGTCTTTATGGAATTCAATAAGTGCTTTTCGGTTGACACGTGCTATGTACATAGATTAGCTGCTTTGTGCGAAACATCACGCCTATAAAAGCAAGAGTTGATACAATGCATTGTACAGCTTGCCAGGATGTAGTGGCAGAGCAACTCTTTTTAGGGGTTGGTTTAAAACCCTTAGGATACAGCCAGGAAACAGGGTATGGGCGATAAAACGATTGAAAATGTGAAAAGGACTGTTGTAAAAGATTTAGAAACTTAGTATAAAGTAATGTTGTGTCTTTTAGGGGACCTCCTAAAGGTAATAACAGAATGGAATGCCCATAGACTTTAACAGGGTAGTGGGATGCCCATGGACACTAATGGAGCAAAATGGAATGCCCATAGATTATAGTGGGAACAGCATATTTGAATTGTAGTCAGAATCATTCACTATATGCATCTTTAGCAGATATACTCTCCAAGTACAGTGGCATTGTTTATTATTATTATTATTGTTTTCTATGGAATAACAAAGGTGTATGTTGGAGAATGGAATTAGGCATGTATCTGTAGGTGTTACCAGTACTTAATAACCTTACAATATAAAGTTACAAGTCAAAGGGACTTTATCTTAAAGGGAAACCTAGGGACAAGTTTCTAATATGGGAATGACATATCTTGCTTTTTGAAAGTGTTTGAATGACATGGAATGTCTTATGATATTTAAAGTAATCTTGAGGACTTTTTGTATTTCACTTTGTTATATTTTTCAACAGCTCAGTGAAAACTAAATAAAATAATAAAATAGATGATAGAAAGACAGACAGATAGAATTATCTTTCATTTAAAAACAATGGACCCTTTTCTCTAATTAGTGTGTTAAAGGGAGTTGAAAACATATTTTTTTAGAAATTTTAAAACAATAACTCCAACTGAGCGGCGTTGTATTTTCACAACCTTTCTGCTTAGACATATATTTTATGCTCATAAATGTACAACTTTTTATTGAATAGATCGTTTGTAAATTCTTCACCTATCTATTTGTTCATTAGACAGGATCCCATTGAATTTTGCAGAATACTGTTTGCTGTCATATGATCTGACTTTATTTGTGACCATATCTTCCTATTAATATTATCATTTCCGGTAGAACATACAGAATACTATAGATCACTCTTCAATACTGCAGAAACACCTAGGAATACATTAACAGCTCAAACAGGAATCATGCTATAAATATAAGTGAAACAAATGAGTGCTTTGTCAGATGGATATGATAAGCTTTTTATTTTTAAAGGCCCAGTACACCAAAAGCAATATATAATTAATCTCTCTCTCTCTCTCTGTTATTAGTTACATTAAATGGTGTCATAAGATGTGGGGTATTACCAAAAACAAGTTAACCATGTCATTATATAGAACATTTTGCCTATCTCTGGTCCTGAAGGGGTTACATTATAGGTTTCAGATGTGAAGACATGTCTGCTACAAACTAGGGTAAAGTATGAATTGCATAGTGATCAAAGTGAAATTGCCATTTTAGGTCAAAATAGCTGAATTAGAAGACTTCACCAAGTCAGCAATATTTGCAGTTCATCTCTTCAGACCTTAAAAGGACACTCTAGGCATCCAGACCACTTCTGGGTGCAATGCCCCATGTCCCTTAACCCTACAGTGGTAATTATTTTTATTAATAATTACCTCTGAGGACTAACTCCTCCTCTAGTGGCTGTCTGCCACTAGAGGGACTTCCGGAATCGAAACGGACCTTTGGTCTGTTATCTGATGCTGGACGTCCTCACGCTGTGCATGAGGACCTCCAGCGTCAGATTTTTCCCATAGGAAAGCATTGATTCAATGATTTCCTATAAGGAAGGTCTAATGCGTGCGCGGCCATTGCTGCGCATGCGCATTAGGTCTCCCCCATCGGCTGATGTCAATGAGGAAGGAGCGAGGGCGGAGCCTGACCCAGCGCAGAGGGACATCGGCGCTGGATTCAAGTAAGTGACTGAAGCCACGCGAGATGGGGGGTGCGAGGGAGGGGGGCACTGTAGTATTCTACAGTGTTAGGAAAACGGCTTTGTTTTCCTGGCACTATAGAATCCCTTTAAATTTGAAATTCAACTTGAATCGTCTCCTTGTAATAGTTAATGTGAGGAAGACAGTTTCAGTGGGTCATTGTATAAAGCAATTGGAGCAATGCTGCATTCTTGGTATCTTTGTCCAAACTTGAGGCCTGAAACTCATATCCCACTAAGGGAGATAGCTGTTAATAAGGCAGATATTATATTTAATATACAGCAGTGCTCATTTATGTCACAGGTAATGTCATACTCAGGAGTTTTACATGTTTGTTTCCTGTACATTATTAAGAATAATATGATTATATTGTTGTCCATCAAAAATGCTCACAGCAAATTACCCCATAATCTAATTGTATTTATTTTATCAGTATTTAAGGAACTGGAACTGATGGTCTTTTTTTCCATAGGTTATTTATACAGTGAACTGTGATGAGTTAATGCCTGGCTGGCATAATTTAGGCCAGACAAGAAGATTTTAAAGGACACTTTCCAGTAATGTTGACTTGGAACCAATTGTACCAAATCGAAAAGCAAATTGTTATAAAAACAGGTTAAAATAGGAGACACATTTGAGAAACATTTCAACTCCGCTATTTCAGGTTAAAATTTTTAATATAATATTCATTTCACAGCATTTAACTGTATAGTAAAAACCCTGTCAAAACAAGGGGAACATATCTCAGCTTAATTCGAAATATTGGTTATTTTGGCTTTGATTTTGCACGTGAAAGGGACACCCTAGGCACCAGAACATCTACAGCTTAATGTAATTGTTCTGATGTCTATAGCCTGTCACTGACACAGGTGCTTTCTGTGTCAGTGATGCACGCTTTGCATGGAGACGTTGAACGTGCCCCATAGATATTCATTGATTCAATGCATCTCTATGAGGAGATGCTGATTGGCGTTTTGTTGCGCAATAGCCTCCCAATGCTTTCCTATGGCAAAGCATTGGATTGGTTGAGATAATCAAGTTTGTCGAACTAAGCCACAGAGGTGGAGCAAGGCAGGGCCAACCACAACAAGATCAACGTGGCGTGGGAGAAAAGGTGAGTAAATAATTTCACAGGGAGGCAAGGGGGGCGGACACATAGACAGTGATTTTACCACTCTAGTGTCATGTTTTGTTCCTGACACTATAGTGTTCCTTTAATAACTCACTATTCTTTGTCTAAACCAATCAAAGACTTGCACAAAATCTGAATAATTAACTTGCAAATTCTCCCATTAAAATAATTTTACCCTGCAAACTCATCGCAACTTCTTCAGGCACTAACCCTTGAGTTGCTAATTAACCCCTACCGCCCCTCCCCGCCACCCCCCCAAGATATTTAAAACTGAGCGCTACAGGAGTCAACTGAGTTTTTGGGATGAAATATCCAACTTACAAATCAGTCAACACTAAGTAGCCAACACAATCTCCAATGAATAGATCAATTATTCCTTAACTGTGTATATATATATACTGTATGAAAATGTAGTAGGCAAATAGCAATTTCAGGCAAAAGGCTTTTACCTAGGCAAATAGTTATACTAGTTATAGTCTAACTAATATTCAGGCAAATCAGGCAACCTGGGAATGTGACCCATTCTCATCAATAGACACTCAGGCAACCCACGGAAAGTGGCCCTGCTTGCCAAATACCGCCTTGGAACCCCTTAATGAAAAGTGATAAGTATTGAGGAACAGGGGCCACTTTTCTGGGGTACCTAAGTGTATCTTGCATAGCTGGTACCATTTTCCTGTAGTGCATGGGTGCATATTGGCAGGCAGGGGCCACTTTACCCACCTATTAATGAAGGCATTAATTGGCAAGCAGGGGCCACCTTCCTGGGGTTCCTGGTAACTTTCCTTGAGGGGTTCCTAGGCAGTTATCGATAATCAAAGGGCCACTGAGCAGGAGACACTTTATGGGATTGCCTGAGCAACTATTTGTGAGAAAGGGCCACTTTCCCAAATTGAAATCAGAAAAAAAAACAAAACTGAAAAAACCACCAAAACAACAACAACCTGTAAGAAAAATGGAAAACTATTTCCCTGAATACTAGTTAGGCAAACAAATTTTGTCTAGGTAAGTGGTGTTTTAATGGTATTTGCCTAAGCAAAAGCTTTTTGCCAGAAATTACAATTTGTCTATCATGTATACATGTGATGAATAACTACAATATTACATTGATTGTCAGGCAGGACAAACAGCCAAATATTTACTCATATTTATAGCGAAAGTTTTATTAAGAATATCTACCATAACAAAGCAAGACACATATTAGCATGCTGAAAATACTGAAGGAGAAATTAGCAACTGTAAGACAATATATGGCGCAGCACAGCGTTCCTCTCATAGAGAAATAGCTATTTTATACAAACATATGACTATGTAAAGTGAGTTTTAGTCAACAGTTATATTTTATAGCAATAATTAACAAGTAATATCATAAAAATATAAAGGTCATTTAGTTTTTGTTTTGTTTTAGAATTGACCATTTTTTTATTTTGATAAAAATAGACATTGGAAGGGGTACAGAAAAAAAGAAAAAGGGGAGGGAAGGGTAGGGGGAATGGGATAACAATGCGTTTTGTTTAACAATTGTCATGTGGGAAAACAGCTTAAATCAATTCCCTGAGCATGGCATGAGGTCATTTAGTTTTAAAGGTAGAGATGAAAGGAAAATAAACAGTTCAGCAGTTTTTAATGACTACAGTCACTAGCAGTTATGGTCAGTGGTGTATTTTGGATCTGTGCTGTCCTAGGCATGACGGAACTCGGGCACCCCTAATTTAAATTTGCCCCACCCCTTCCTGTCAAAGCCACACCTCTTCCTAGTAAAGACTAACACACACTTTGACTGATAGATACACACACTCAGATACACTGACATACACACACACTTACTGATTTTACACAATTTGACTGACATAAGCACACTCACTGACACACACTGACAGCACACGCGCACACACACACACGCTCCCTCACTGACACACACTGACAGACATACACACTCACTCACAGACACACACTAACAGACACATACAGTCACTCAGACAGACAGGCTCCCTCACAGACACACACTGACATACACAATCACTCACAGAAACACACTGACACTCATTCACACATTCACTGACAGACACACACACTCACAGACACACACAGACACACACAGACACACACACACCCACAGACACACACACACACTGACAGACATACACACTCACTCACTCACTCACAGACACACACTAACAGACACAGTCACTCAGACACACAGGTTCCCTCATAGACACACAATGACATACACAATCAGTCAGACACACACGGACAGACATACACTCACTCACTCACTCACTCACAGAAAAACACTGACAGACATACACACATTCACTGACAGACACACACTGACAGATATACACACACAGAATCACTGACAGACAGATACACACTCATTCACTCCCCCATTCACTGATAGACACACACACACTCACAGGCACAATGGCAGACACACACATCACTGACAGACAGACACACACACACACACACACAGACACACACACACACACTCACAGACACACACTGACAGACATACACACTCACTCACTCACTCACAGACACACACACACACAATCACTCAGACACACACATACATTCACTGACAGACAGACACACACTCACTCATTCACCCACAGACACACACTAACAGACACACACAGTCACTCAGACACACAGGCCCCCTGTGAGCCCAAGGCCACATGACATATACAGTGCTGGTTATGGTCAAGAAACTGTGGTTTTGAGGGTTTGTTCCAGTACTCTAAGCATGTACCCAAACATATATTCTATTTTCCAAATGTATTTCAATTTGGGTGGTGTAACTAGGTAACTATGTATGGGTATGAACATGACAATTCCACCTGGCACCAGTGAAATAAAAAATTACAACTTAACTTATAGGTACACAGCCTCCCAGGTGGTAACCAACCACAACAGAAATGTATATATACACAGAATTAAGGGATCTTGCTGGTGCACCTATAAACAAAAATATAACATAGTGCAAGTAACAGTATGATACAAAAAAATTACTTGTTTTATTTATATGGGTCCTTAAGAAAGTTCTCACGTGAGAACGAAACGCATAAGACGACCATATTTTAAACACTATTGTGTAATTATTTTTAGCTTGTCTAATAAATATCATTTTTTTGGAAGAAACCTCTGGTAAATCGTTTTGAGGGATTTAAAAGACCGGTCCGGAGAGAAATTCGAAGGAGGAACTCTAGCCCCCTATTGAAATCGAGGGTGGCACCCATACAGCACTTTTATCATCTTTTTCCAACTGAGAATTTGCATTTTCTTTGTATTAGACAATATTGCACTATGTTATATTTTTGTTTATAGGTCCATCAGCAAGATCCTTAAATTCCGTGTATATATACAAGTATGTATGGGTACCTTATTTGGATGCATGTAAATAGGTGAGCATGTTTGTTAAGAAATATCCAGTATTTTTTTTATTCCCTGGAGTTTATGGGGTTCAAAGAGTGAGAGATCAAATAAGGAAAATGGTGTAGTTAAGGAGATTACCCAGAGGTGTATGGTGTAGTTAAGGAGATTACCCAGAGGTGTATGGTAGTGGCCGAGCTGCTGTTAAACAAAAGGGTGAAATCATAGACAGAGACAAAGGTCATCTTGAGGTGCCAAACATTTATAGGACTGGATAAGGTTCATATAAACAACTGATGGAGTAGGAAGATACAAGTGTACTGTAATTAATTTGGCTGTGTGATACAGCAGATAGATTATGTATAGAAGAAGAATATGGTGTACAAGGTTTTTCGAGTTCAGTAAGGGTGATCATTACATGTTTTCCCTTTGTCTTTAATGCCCTTACATAGTACTAGGAGCTAGACCTTTACATAGGCTTTTATCTCCATTCAGGTTCTCACCCATTCAAATGTTTTATGCCACTCATTTTAGAACACAGTGCCATTAGTTTCATATTACTCCTCTCCAGCCATTACTTATGCCTTTCACATCATTGTCCCTTACCACCCATCACATGCCCCTAATTTCATAATTTGATTGACTTTATGTCTTATGGTACCATATTATTGCTGCTCCATATGAATTATCACATACTCCACCTCAACAGCCACCCATTTCATTTCTTATGCCATCCATCTCACTAACCTACAACTCTTTACTGACAGGGAGCTGTCATCTTCCTCTGAATGGGATCTTACCTCCCAACAAAGTACAAAGTCAGACACTTCCATTTTAGGATTTGAGCTGTGGTAGTGGCCAAATCTGTTCTGACAAATTTTAGATGACTTACTAATAACAATATATGTAGCTAAAATGTAATTTAGAACAAAAACAATGTATAGTATTTACACAGTCTGATTTCTAAACATATTTATTGTAGTTTAAGGACACATTACTGCAACACACCAACAATATGGAGCTCCGAGAAAAGAG